AGTTATACCGTAGCTAGAAGAAGATGTAAGATCATCAAATACGATAAATAAGTGTCTAAAACCTAATTTTAATTAATTATTGTGCCAACAATATTGTTAATTTTACTGATTGATGATTTCAAAATTGATATTGAAAAATAAAGAAAGAAATAAAAGAAGAATTGGATTTTGATTAGTCATCCACAATGTGTAGACTAATGATATTAGTTAGTCTAATATTAGCATTTACTTTAAAAAAGAAATAAATGGATGGAAAACTTGAAAATCCATACAAAAAATGGAGGCTAATGATGTCAATAAGTTCTTTGACATCAATATTATCTAATAAAAAATTAAAAGTATTGTAAAAAACTTGATTAGTCATTTCTAGTACGGGAGACTAATGATACGAATAAATTATATTAATATCGACATTAACCTAAATTTGATTCGTTATTCCTAGTATAGAAGACCAATGATATTGGTATTAAAATTTACATGAACTTGATTAGTTGTTTCCAATATAGAAGATGAATAATACCAATAAGTTATATTGGTATCGGTATTTACCTGAATTTGATTAGTCATTTCTGGTATGGAAGACTAATGATACTAATGAGGTTCTTTGGTATCAGCATAAATATAAAGGGAATATATGAAAATGAACTTGATTGGCCAATCCTAAAAAACAAAGAAGGTTAATAATGTCAATGTGTATTGGCATCGATATATACTTAAAAATTAATTATCTAATAGAATAAAAGATAATGATATCAAATGGATTGGTATTGGTATAACCTTAATTAACCATGCTTGAGGTGATGATTAGTGATATTTAATTGGAATTGATATTCACATTAATTAATTGACCAGGGTTATGGGTGGCTAATGAGATTATGATATTAAGTTGGTAAAACATTAAGGAAAACATGATAAAACGCCTTACTTTTTAGTTAGAAATAAAAATAAAATGCAAATTTAGTTATATATAATAATTGTTTATTAATTTTTTTTCATTGATTTATGTTTTGTTTGGTGTACTATTTAGAGCTATTGCACTCATATTAGGAATAGATTTATCTTATCTTTTTTGTTCATGTAGATTTGATATATTATGTTTATTTTAGATTGTAATATATATTTTGCTTTAGGTATGCAAATATGAATTCTTAAGTTTTATTTATAGATAATTGAAATTATATATCCTTTTATTTTTATCCATCTTTATATTGCATGACAGATTCCATATAAAGTCTCTAACCATATAATTAAAATGTTATATAATTAATTGAATGAATTGAAATTAACATTAATTGATTGATGTGAATTATAATGAATTAAAAAGGTGTATAGAAGTAAAACAAATTTAAATCTATAACTTGAGATATTTTTTTAGAAGAGAAATTCTATCAAATTTTAATAGAAACTATGGTAGGAATATATAAACAAAGAAATTCTAGCATTTTCAAAATTAAAAATGTGCTTATCACAGGTATTGAAGCTATTACAATGTTGTCTTTAAATATTTTTCTCTTTGTTTTTTTTTTAATTCAAACTAGATCTTGAGAATTTTTAATTAAAATTAATAAATTAAAAATATACTTGGGATGTAATTTAATAGAGTATAATTCAATTTTAATTTCTTCTAAATATGATTATAACATATTTTGTTAATATTAACAAGTGCTTTTATTGTATAAGCCTTTGTGACGTTGCTTTTATTTTCTTCTTAAATTTTATTTAATTTCTTTAGTTGATGTATCTATTTTTTTATTATATAAGAAAATAAAAAAAATAATTTTAAAAAACAAAGTCATTTAACTCAACTAGATCCATGACTTGTATGGAAAATTTGATAAATTAAGTCATTTAACTCAACTAGATCCATAAATGGAAAATTTGATAAATTTATCTGAATTAATTAAAAACATTGTGGTTACAAATGTTTTTCTTTTTTTAAATTAAAATAATAAAGACTTAAAATTTTGTTTGAGTAATAATTCATTGTTTAATTTGAAACAAGTCATGCACGAGGCCATATTGTTGGAACAAGTCTAGTTAACGAGAATAAAAAGAATTAAATAAAAAATAAATAGCATGACTCGCAATGAGATTACATTTCTTGGGATCATTTGGGGAACATGGTTAAAATTATATTTTTTAAATATTTGATTTTTTTCTTAAAATTAATAATTTTTTTTTTGTGTTTTAAAATTATTTTTAATGTGATGATATCAAAACTATTTTTTAAAAAATAAAAAATTATTATTTTAATATATTTATAAATAAAAAAATATTTTAAAAAATAATTATTATTATTATATTCTCATTCATTCTTGTTATTATCATAGGAGGATACATTAACTGTTCCTTCGAAGAAAGAGACAACTCTACTTGGCAACGGGAGCAAGAGAACCGGTGCCATGCTGCTATCAAACTATTCGATAGGCAGTCCCAATTTCTTCTGCTGGATAGAGAAGCGATGGGCCATGGAATAAGGCTTGGCCCAATACTTTAAGCTATCATATTGGACCACAGAGTTGCATATAAAGCCCACCAGCCCTTGCTGTAAAAGTCTGATTTTTACACACACAACACACGTATATTTTTGTGGGTTCTCCTGAAAGTGGCGGCCCAATCTCCTTTTATTATTAGTTTATTTTTTTGTTCCTTTTAAGTGAAATGAAGTGCTTTTGAGCAGTGATGTAACCTAAGTTTTATGAAGTTTTGATTTATTTTTTTTAATTTAAATTATTTTTTGTATGGGTGTTGTAATGTCTTAATATTGATAATAAATTTTTAAAAATAAAAAAAATATTATTTTAATATATTTTTAAAAATATTTTTTATTATTCTTCCAAACAAATTAAAAACATCTTATTCATTTAAATAATAAATTCATTTGTTAAAATCATTCAATACTTACACTTATTTCCCAACCCTACAATATCTAATAAGCGAATATTTAATGTTGTGGTGTATATTGTTTTTTAATTAAAAATTCATTAAAATAATTTTTTAAAATTTTTTATCCACGTCATGATATTAAATATCTATGATTTTTTTAAAATAAAAATTATTTTAAAAAATAAATTACAACATAAAAACAAAAACTAACTAATTCAGACTCATTTATCTTTTTTATTTTTAGTACTATATTAATAATTATGCAATCAGTTTATATTATGTTTTTTATATTTTTATTTTTTTAAATAGATTTGAAAATAGTTGTTAGTTTTTTTTTCTAAAAATAAAATTTTTAAAAACAAACAAGTTTTATTATGTAACCTTCAAAAAATTGAAAATAAAAACAAAAACCACAAGTAATGCAAAAACACTCCTATTATTTTGACGATGATTGCCTCCGATCATGAGTAGACACTCCTTATATTGGATTAGGTTTTTGGAAAATAACTTAGTTTGGGTATGATTATGTAACATCTTTCTTGATTTTGAGCATTATTAAAAAAAAAAGGAAAAAGAAAAAGAAAAAGAAAAAATAAAAAAAGGTTTGTTTTTTCATGCTTGAGTGGGAGTGGAGCAAATGATCATCATCTCCTCGCCGCCAGTCCAAACTCCAAACTCCAAACAAGCACTGTCAGCCCACGTTAACAACGAACGACGACCATGCACAGCCTCATGATCTCCGTCACTAAACCTTCCTTAGCCTTCACTACGCCACCAGACTTTTCTACTTCCTCACTCTCCAATCCTTTATTCCCTTCTGGTCCCTCCCCTCCTAGCTATTCTCCGCCATTGCATTCCCTTCCCGCATCGTCATCACCGCATTCTCAGCCCTTGCTCTCTCCCTCACAACCCTTCTCTTACCTCCTCGCGAGAACATATTTATAATAGTTTCACTTGGCAAAAATGTACAACTGATAGACATCACTTTCCTGCTTAATTTTGTGTTAATGATATCAGTAGAGTTTAAGTATTAGTTCCTACAATAACAACACGTAACGGGGTCGTCCATTTGCTTGGAAATGGACGCTGCCGGAAGGTGTTGTGTCCAGTCCCACGAGTTGTGGGACTGGAAGAGCCTCCAGTTGTTCCGGATTTTCTCCGCGAACTGGAGGCTGCAGGATGGGTCCCAATTGGAGTCGATGCGTATGAGACGAGGTGGTTGGGACCCGCCTGTGCGAAGGGAGTTGTGGAGAGGTGCGATGAGGTATTGTTGGATGCAGTGGTTTTTGCTAGTAGCGGAGAAATGGAGGGTTATTGAAGTGTTTGAAAGAGCTTGGGTGGGAGTGGGAGATGATGATGAGGAGGTGGCCTAATTTGGTGGTGGGAGAACATGGTCCGGTGACCGCCGCCGGGGCTGAGAGTTTGGGAGTGAATGTTAATGTTGTGAGTGGGAGGTTTGATAGTTTTCAAGGTACTGTGGATGCTGTCGAAACCAAGTTAAGAGGTTTGGATTCAACCTGTATGTGAATTTGTCTGAACGAAAATTTGTATCATTGATTTGCAAAAATGGAAAGAAGGAGAGCTGACTTTTGGTTAAAAGACTTCGTTTACAAGAACATTTCCCTTTCTTCCTATTTTTGCTTAAGCAAGAAGAAAAAAACTGTTCATAGCTATGACAGGGAAAAAAAGAAAAGAAGCTCTCAATCAATTCATGTAAAAAGAAATACTTTAATGATGACACGACTACTTGTTAAGCCTGTAACTGTCATTCAATGTTCTCATATGTAACTGTGACTGTAATCCATCATGTTCATTAGCTAGTTCTTTAATTTTCTTGATAATTATCATTGGTATTCTATTTATTTATTTATTTTTTAAATCTGGCTTCCACAATGACAAAGGTTTTAACGCATCTTTCACTGTTCGCTATCTTTTGTTGAAAACTTCACTTGTCCTGCTCCTTCACCCCCTAATGTTTTTCACTTTAATTACAAGCCGTCAACTTTTTTGGGAGAACTTTTCCCTTACTGTATGTAGCAGAAGGTTTGGAGTTGACTCAAAGAACTGTAGAAAAACTGTCTTATGGCTGTAGAAAAAAAAAAAAAAACAAGAGATAAGGAAACGCACGGTGTTTTAATGCCAATAGTTTTACATCATGCATGGAAAAAAATAAGTACCATGTAGTTAACATCTATAAGATTCTTTAAGAATACACAAACCTAAAGGCCACTATATTACGGCAAAATATTTCCAATAATCTCCGCGGGAACAAGCTAGGTATGATAATTAAACACAAACAGACACTCATATGAATTAGCTACAAGTCATATCTATCAATATATGTGGCATTGTGAAATGCTCAGTATAGTCCTTTGGTTTCGATATTTCTGTTAATTTACTTGCGACTTCAACCCTGATAGAAGTTTCAGTGCATCTTCCATGCATGGTCGATCAGATGGCCTACTTCTCATGCAGAGCAAAGCAACTTCAAAAACCTGTTTTATTTCCTCTCGTTTTGCATCGGCAGAGCCAGTTTGGTTCTCGCTATATATTTCTCTTAGAAGCACCTCCTTAGGCTTGCTCTGTATGCTCCCTCTTGCATTTGCCAATCTGCCATTAGTCAGGATTTCCAGAACGATCTCCCCAAATTTGTATGTGTCCATGCAGAGCTCCTCTGTTATAGCGCTGTTGAGTTCGCCTGTTAAGAAGTTGAACAAACATTATTCACTTCTATGCTTCCAAAGAAGAGATTAGCTTGAGTCAACAGATTTATATTTGTAGGAAGATCCCTTTCCCTATTTCAAGACAGCAACATAAGTTTGCTAATGTTTGTTGATATGGAATATCAATCACTGTAATACTCTGTTTTAAATATACTACAGATTTCCAGACTTTCTTACTACTTTTGTCTATCTTAGACTTTTGATTAAAGGTGTTATTTGTCTGTTTGATGTGTATAAGTGATTTAGAAAACAGGAGTCCGTAGAAAATCTTATAACATGAAACAGCATATGCTAATAGAAATCATGTTCAGTGAGGAGTTACCTGTTTCTCTCATGGAAATTGTTGCAGGAGACGAGCCTTTAGTCATTTCCGCAAGGTACTTGAACCCAAATTCAGCTAAATGAGGCTCCATATTTTCATCGAACAATATGTTACTCATCTTCAAATCTCCATGAGGAATTGCTGGGTAACAGTCATGGTGAAGGAAGCACAGTCCCCTAGCAATGCCAATGACGAGTTTGTACTTGGTCACCCAATCTCTCTTCAAAGTGATTTTTTCAGCCAAGTTACCATTAGGCTGATAATCATGCAAGACATAAGCTAGTTGCTTGTTGTAGCAAAATCCTAGCAATCTAATCAAATTCTTGTGTCTTGCAACACCTAGTCGTGTCATAAATTCTGTGGCTTCCTTCATTCTCTTTGTTTCCAGTTCGATCTTTTTCACCGAAACTGTTATTCCTGTAGGCAGCACGGCTTTGCAAACTGAACTAGAGTCTACTGGCACTGCTTCCATTGATTCCGTGGAACTAAAGCTTCTCAAAACATCATTTGCTGTGAATCGGGGGAGTCCACTGAAGGAGACCATTTTCCATTGACCTTTACTTCCTCTCCGGAAGTAGAATATCCCCAAGATTGATGCCACAATTAATACAATCAACACTGCACAGAGTAGCAGAACCCATGTAAGCTTTCTTGTGCCCTTGCTGCCGAATATTGCGATCGAAGCAGAACATGGTTTCAGGGGTGCTCCACATAGCTTTGGATTTCCCTCATAAGCATTGCTGCCCATCAATCTAAACACGTTGTTGGATGGAATGGAACCAGAGATATCATTAAAAGACACGTTTAGAAGCACTAAGCTTGAAGAAGCACCAAACTTTGCTGGTATCGGACCACTGAAGTTATTATGTGACAAGTCTAGGACACTTAAATCTGGAAGGCTTGCCAGGTCTTCTGGTATATGACCAGTAAACTTATTAAAAGCTAAATCCATCTTCCTAAGAGCTTGGCAATCAGACACTCTTCCAGGGATACTTCCTGCTAGGTTGTTCGTGTGCAACTCAATAACTGAAACAGATTTGCAGGAGTGGAATGGAGGAAGATTGCCTGAGATATTACACGCTGACGCTGAGAAATTTTGGAGAAGTGGCGAAGACCATGTTTTTGCTGGGATCATACCTCCAAGCCCTGGGTTATTGGAGATATTGAAGTACCGCAGACTGGAAGCTTGAGAGATATCCGTGGGAATCCCACCGGAAAACTTGTTCCCGGAAAGGTCTACATATGTGATATCAGGAAGCTGGCTGAATTTAAGAGGTATCTCACCGGAGAGGGAATTGTCTTCGATTCGTAGACGCACAAGCGAAGAACAATTGGAGATGGATGGTGAAAGCCTGCCCGAAAAGTTATTCGAAAACAGGATCAGTTTTACTAGCCCTCCGGCACAAATATCCGGCGGAATGCTGCCGATGAAATTGTTGGTGGAAACATCCACCCATTTTAGCTTTAAGTTCCTGCCCAAGTCCCGTGGAAGTGACCCAGAGAAGAAATTGTTCCATACAAGGAAAGTTTCCAGCGAAGGAAGCTGACCAATGCCTTGTGGAACAGTTCCATTCATTTCATTGTACATAAGGCTTAGCAGCTTGAGATTCTTCAACTCTGCAAAGCTCTCAGGTATAGGCCCAGAAAGATGATTATCAGAAAGATCTAAGCTTGCAAGAGGCACAATTTTTCCAAACTCCCAGGGGACCGATCCAGTGAGCTGGTTTCTAAAGAGAAATAGTGATTCAAGCTTGGTGAGATTGGAGAGTTGCTTTGGTATTGGGCCAGATAGATTGGCACTAGCTATATCAAGATACTGAAGCTCACTCATGTTACTCAATTGCCATGGGACACTTCCTTCATATGAATTGTAGCCAATCTCCATATGGGTCACTGTCTTGAGTTGGCCTAGTTCTGGTGGTATGGTACCACCGAGGAAGTTACCTGCCAGGTGAATAAACTCAAGGCTCTTGAAAGAACCATACTCTGATGGGATTGGACCATCAAAGTAACTCCCAGCCAGATTGAGAATTTTGAGATGGTCAAGCTGGGAAACTTCAACTGGTAACGGCCCAGAAAAGCTGTTGCTGAAGGCATCAAGTACAACCAGGTTTCGAAGACCTGAGACTCCCTCTGGAAACTGGCCAGAAAAATTGTTTCTGCTGATATCCAAGATTTTTAGATTAGTGAGGTTAAAGATTCCCACTGGAAGCTGCCCTGAGAATGAGTTGTAGCTGAAGTTGAGATCAACAAGCTCAGTGAAGACACTAAATTGCTTCCCTGATAATTCACCACCAAGATTCTTCATAGACAGGTCTAAAGCAATAACAACTGTGGAATTCTTGTTGCATCTGACACCAGACCAAGAACATGCTTGGACTTTCTCTCCTGTGTCCCCTCCGGGGGGCACTGACCAATCATCCAGGCTGTTACTATCATCAATGAGCTCAGATTTTAAGCTCAAGAGAGCCTCTGAATAAGGATTAGTAGCCACAACCACAGATACGATGAATGTGAAGGTCAAGAGAATCCTGAAGTACAAGCAATGAAAAATCTCCATTGGAACTCGAAGTGGAGGAGAAAGAAAAACAACTATTGACAACCCCGGGTAAGAGAAAAATCTGTCAGTTTAGAATAAGGCCGGTGTATTTTGTTTGTGTTTTGTTGGATGTGAGGTGCATGGGGACTAGAGAAAGAAAGCATAAAAGAAGGGAGTGACGTACAAGGATTAGTTGATATGATATGAGAATTTGCCATCGATCAAGTTCCTTTAGAGGCAAGAAGGGACCCTTAGGGCCATAGTTAATTTGGATGGTGCTGGCCACTAAGGACTGTAGCTTTTACATGTTGAAGCATCTTTTTCTTGCTTTTCACCGGAGAAAAGGAAATATGTTATGCAGCAGTGTCTAATTTGAGATGGGGTATAAAAATTTCGGAGACATGAACCTAATTCTCCATATCCTTGCCATTTTATTTCGGAGATAAAGTGCATTGTTGTATCCCTTTCTGGTTGGATGGTTTATAACCAAATGGTGGCAGATTAGGAATAAAGTGAACCATTATTTTATAAAAAAGAATATCATAGGAATTAAGAAAGGTGAGCAGTTACTAGGCGATTATTATCAGAGTTACAGTTCTGACCTAATTTTGGACTACTGAAAGCAAAATGTGATAGCAGTACTGAAGAAAATGTCTGGATAAAAAAACCAGCCAGATTTGCCTGTCCAGGGAACCAAATTAAGTTGAGAGACAGATTATCTTCTGCAGTATTCAATTAAGGGAAATACAAGCCAGTAAATCCTTGTTTTGGGACCAGTCATTGAAATGATGGTATTTGGTGTACAGAAGTTACAGTATAAAGACAATAATGTGGTGCTAAAAAAGCAGCTCTTTTTTTCCTTGATCTATGATTAACTAAACCTTTTGTGTCCTTCAAGGACATTAAAGGTATATCCATATTCTGTTCTTGACATATGTGTGACCATGGCAGTTGGCAGTGAATGCTAAGTTTCTTCTTTCGTGCGTGCTCCTAATGCAATCTAATAATTAAACTCAACGTCTCCAATATGGTGCTAAAAACTTCTAAAGGAGAGTAAATCCAAAGTGAACTCGTGAAAAGATAGCTGTCCTCGTTGTTTGACAGTGGTGCTGTGATTCTCAAGATGGATGCATAGAGATTCACAGCTTGTAATTACTCGGGTGGTTCATCTTGCATTAATTACAAGAGCATTTATTTCATCTTTTCACTGTCTCCAGCAGTTAGCATTTATAAACGTGGTTATGATTATTTTTAAAATATTTTTTAGTTAGAATAACTTTTAAAATTAATATATCAAAATAATTTAAAAATATAAAAAATATATTAATTTTTTTTTAATTTTTTAAAAATACTTTTAAAACATAATACACGCTCTGAGATTGGTTGCTGCTTGACATGCTAAACTTGGCACAATGCTACTACACCTACAGGTGTTATTTGACTCCCTTGAAGCAGCAGTCTTGTCTTTCAACCTAGGCAGTAGCTAGTAGTAGTGAAGAAATCCCATTGCCCGTAAAATATCAAAAGAAAAAGAGAGTCCTAGCATTAGCAGCTAAATGGCCCTCTAGGGTTTTGTTTGGACCCGGGGACCAGCTTCTCAGGGGGGACTCTTCAAGTGTCATGGACAAAAAATGCTTGTCCTTCATTAGGATTACTGAAGCCAGCTTTGGTTCTTTATAGGAAGGTTTTGGCCACATATATGTAGATGTTCATTTATGTCATGTATGGGAAACAGTGCAATGCTCTAAAATCTTGGTGCAGAGAGTCACAGGACATGATCACATCGCGAGAGAGTCCTGCTTCCTGAGACCCTTCACAGGGACCCCGTGATGAAATAAATTCTGGCGAGGAGACGAGTCCCCTCGCATTGCGTGTTGTTATTATGTATCATTTAATATCCCTACCACTTCTCTGAAGCCAGATATCTTTGCTCCACTGTGATAATAAGGGAAGGACGATCATGAGATAAGCTTGTCCCTCTGGCAAAAAACAAATCTCTTCTTTTAGTTCTTGGAGTTGTATACTCTTCTTCAATATTTATCATCGCTGTTGTGGAGCTAATAAATTTAAGGCCACAGTCCTTTCAATGGCAAGAAAAATAAGACAAGTTTCGCTGGATTTTGAATCGAAAGAAGGCGTCTAGCAAGAATTGAGCTCTGCCATTACGGATCTATCACTGTATCAAGGAAATGGGATTCATATCCATCGTAGCATCCAAACACTTGTTAAAGGAAAGAACAGAATCGTCCAGTGTGATAGAGGAGAGAAAATAGCAGAGAAATTCCCTCAAAGACCACCGACCATGTGGTGTTAGGGCCTATGCTGAACACATCTTTTTAGGAAAAGAAACTCTCACTCTTCTGAATGCATAGGATTCCCATCATAAGCAGTTGAGGAAGGAGGGGGCTCATGCTTGATTTGATGCATGAATCTAACCAAGGTTTAACAAAGACAACCATAGATATCAATCTTTAAGCACCAAGTAGAACACCATAAGGATACTGAAAAGACCATTTGGAACCCTGCACAACTTATTTATAACCGAAGAAACTAGGGATGCTTTTGACTTTCTGCAGGGGCTATATGCCAGGAAGAGTGAAGCATCTAGCCAGTCAAAAACTATTGGTTGGTGCTGTGCCATGCAAAATGGATAAGAAACATTATACAAGCAGAGAAGAAAACGTCAAAAATTTATAAAGGACAGCATAAACATGCAAATAAAGTAAATGAAAGTGATTGAAGAAAGGGGCTCTTCAACAAAACATGAAATCCACTTTGACAAATTATGGATAGAAGTGGCTGCTGGTAAATTGATAGACGGCTGGGGAGGTTTTGAAGTATGCCCTTCATTTTGATTTGAAGGAAGAATTGAGAGATTCAACACTAGACAAACCCATCCCCGATGAAGTAGATGCCCTTCATTTTGATTTGAAGGAAGAATTGAGAGATTCAACACTAGACAAACCCATCCCCGATGAAGTAGCAGATCCTTGATGCAATGAACACCGCCAGCTGCAGAGAAAATAACCAGTCCATCCTTGGATTTGAAAACAGAAATGGCTAAAATATAGACAATAACATCGAGCCGAGCCTTGCTTGGAGCCTAGCAACAGCACAGAAAGAACCATGACTGGCAAATATTTTAGATTTCCATAACTGTATTTTAACAGATAAGAGAGTTGAATTTGGACACAAGATTGTATCTTGAGACCTGTAAACAAGTTCTCAGTCACTGGTTTCTGATCCCACAATTGAATCCAGCAACATGCTAAGCATTAACTCGAGTTTAATCCTCCTTGCAGATCATATCAACCAAACTGATGGGGGATCTGTCACACCTGATTCATCTTCAACCGAGATTGCAGTTCAACCCAATTAGCATCCGTCCATATACATGCATACATCTAAATAAATCACTATGATTTGCCTGTTGCCAATTTATACCGGATTGGAGATCATCGGAGTGAAGCCCCAAAAACAACGGCATTAATATATGATGATTGGAGAATATATTGAGAGATCAACAACTAAGCTTGTGACAGATCTGAGAACGAGGCCAATGATCCCCCTTGCAACAGAAGATGATCCAATGTCAACCTCAATCTACATAACAGAAGTGAAAGCATAAAAACAGTAGGTTAAGGAAGAACAGGAGAAAGCATTACTGCATGCAACCACTGTGCTATAGCTTGCCTATCCAACTAATTAGCCAAAATTAGCAAAACAGATGACAATGAATGTTATAATCATCTGATTAGGTAATCAAATAAATCCAAGAAACTTCCAACCTGAACCATATTTACTTGCTAGTGAAACCATTTTATTTGTATTTTTTGGCCCCCAAGAAAAAGAACATACATCTCATGTGAAAACAGTAACAGTATTTTGCATAACACAAACAAGGCACTCTGTGTTAATTATCAGCCAACAATCTGGTTTCCAGAAACATAACCAGAGAAAAGCTTATTTCTTTAATTCACTATATGCCCAGAATGACCCCAAGCAGAGTTTCTACTTGGTTCTGATGCAGTGAATGTATCGAAGAATATTAACTCCAGAAAATTATCTTGTCTGCTTTTCCCAAAAGGCAAGCTTTTGTTACAACAGCACGCTTGACCATCCAATAGCCCTGTTAATCTTGAAGAGCAATAAGCTTCCCGCACAATTAAAGAAAAACAGGGGAAACGCCCCTAATGCCAGTAATAATATTTGTGATGTGAAACACCTCCATGATACTGGGAACTAATTTGAATCTTGAATCCCGAAACAAGTCTGTCCCATCAACAAATTTTCCCAACAAAGAAATTTTGTTTATTGGTCTGTCCGCAGCATAGTAGAGAACCAAACTGTAGTTTGGTTTTGCTGGAATCTGAAACAGAAAAATGAAATGAACAAGTGCTTCTTTGAAAGAAGACAAACCCATCTGAAACCAAGTATCTTAAAATATTAAAAGTTAATGATGTTTATGTTAGGATTGTTACAATTAATGTATAGTAATTATTTGTAGTCTATTCTAAAATAGGGTTGTTATTATTAAAAATCTATAATGATAAGGGTATAGTCAAGTTACACTAATCATTGATAAAATGATGCAACTCATGTGCTCATATCATTAATACCATAAATCATGTTATGATTTGTAAATCTTATCTTATCATTAATATTTACAAATAGAGGCATTGTTTGAGAGAAAAATAAGAGAGAGTATTAAGAGTGAAGAGGAGTGAAGAGAGAAGGAGAGAGTTGCCATAGGCAGCAGCCCTGCTGCTATATACAGCAGTTTATGTGAGCTGTGAGTTGAGTGAGAATGGATGTAATCCTCCTCCTTCATGTATTTGTTTTGTATTCTTTCTCTATCTCTAATAATATCAACTCTACCGTGGATGTAGGCGATTTTCCAAACCATGTTAAATATTGTGTTAGTGTGCTTGACCTCTTATAAGCAAATATCAGTACATCACCAGTCGGATTCCCCAACAATTTGTATCAAAGCACATGATTTAAAGTGGTGTTTGATTTTGCTAAAAAATAAAAGTTGTCAAAATTATATGTTGACCATACCACTATGTAGAGGAGGAAGAGACGAAGCCACTGGTGAAAACCGTGTTGAAATAGGACATTGGGAATGGCCACATGCGCTGGCAGGGTGACTAGCCACCCGCGCAGACGCGCGCCACGCGTCACACTCATTTTCTTCACTCGGATGGGCTGACCTGACCCGAATACCAGAAGACTCGACCCACATGGCAGATTCGGATGATGATGTCATTATTGCATCAGCATGCACATGTGGCATGCCATGTCATCGACTAGTCAACATCCACGTCAACAATGTGGGGCCCCACATGCCATGTCGTCAGTCACGAGAGAAGCCGAGTAGAGCCGCGAGCCAAGGAAAAGGATCCAGTGTAGCTAATCCTACGTGTAACAGGATCTGAGATTGAATCTGGGCTATTTATCAGGCTAGAATTGTTTTGATCAAATCTTAGCTGTCTAAAGTGCGATTTGAATGATTTCAGACTTGTTTCCAACTAATTTGATTGTTTCGGATGCAATGGTACGGTCCAATCATGAGATTGAGATCATAAATGGTAGTAATGAATTATTAAAAGGAAATTGCCTGATCAGGAGATATCTGATGGTCATTATGATGGTTAATGGAGATGATGAAGAAAAAATTGCACATGTTTGCCCAATTACATTTGCTAAACTGTTATGTGGGGAAATTTTAATTGCCTTGAGAGATGGAAAAATTCAAACACTCTAAATA